TAGGCCCTCGGTTGCTGTAGACTTGCTGTTTGCTCTGCTTGTTGTGTTTTGCTATATATATCCTAGTGAACTCTTGAACTGGCCTTGTGGCCGCTTGCTTGTGCTCGGAATTTGTGTGGTGTCCTTGAGATCCACCCTGAGCTTGCTTTGCTTCTTGCATTGACTGGTCTTGTGACCGTTTGTTCACCCTGCTTGCTTTGATGCCCCTCACTTAGCCTATGGGGGTGTGTCAAATGTTATTATAGGTTCTTAGGCTACAGTGAGTAGCACTCTAGGGAGTACAACACTTTTAGGGTTGCTATTTGTATCCCTTGTTTCCCTAGTTCACACATTCCGTTGTTCGCTAACTTTGTGAGGCAGGCAGGTCATTACGGTACGGGGACATGCCTTCGGTCAGAACTAGGATTTCTACAAGGGGGAGGTCCTGTATCCAGGAGGTTAAGGTAAGGTCAATTTGCACACTCCTATCTGCTAGAGCCTTCACTGGCCATGCACAGCACAATCTTCGTCATAGAAGACATGTGCGAGAACACACTTGCAAATATATCCATAGCCAGAGCTTTAGTACAGTATCGAGCACGGTGACGGCGTGTACCATACCGTATGCCCAACATTGAGTTGGACTGACCTGGTCTCAAGGAAAGAGATGAGAGACATGGGGGCATGTCAGCAGCACTGTATGCACATGTGCAATGGTTATGGCACCAATGCAACATGCATCTCACACAGGAAAACCTAACCCTGGTCATACTTAATAGGAAACAAACACTTCAGCAGCAGTGAAGGGAAGGAAATATCCATGAGCAGTGGATGAGAGCCATAGTCAGAATCAGTGGTTGGAGCAGGGGAACACACAAGCGTGCCCATCACAAGCTGACCACCACCAGAGCGCTTGAGAAAGCAATACTGGAACTTAACAGTAGAGCATGCATGTGGGCATGTTGCTAACCAGTGTTCACATCTGGGCGCCTCAAAAGAAAATCTCAGCAGCAGAACAAGCAATCAGCAGTAGAACATGCGTGTGGGCATGCCTTGGGCCAAAGCAGGCAGCTCAGGCACGCGAGGAAGGGGAGGGCGAGGGGGGGAGGCGTCTTGAGACGTCTCGAAACTCAGCAGTAGAACATGCGTGTGGGCATGCCCTGAGCGAGAGCAGGCAGCTCAGGGGCAGAAGGAGGGGAAGGGAGAGGAGCGGCGGCGTCTTGAGACGTCTCGAAACTCAGCAGTAGAACATGCGTGCGGGCATGCCCTGAGCGAGAGCAGGCAGCTCAGGCACGGGCGGCGGGGGAGGGCGAGGGAAGAAGGGGAGGACGAGGGGCAGCGGGGTCTTGAGACATCTCAAAACTCAGCAGTAGAACATGCGTGTGGGCATGCCCTGAGCGAGAGCAGGCAGCTCAGGCACAGGCGGCGGGGGAGGGCGAGGGACGGCAGGGTCCCTGTTGCGGCCGGCACTTGACTCGGAGGAGAAGTCGTTGGCATCATGGCCGTCGTGGTCAAAGTGGTTGCGGCAGTGCGTTGCTGCGAGGTGTGCGTAGAACACCGGTGCCACTGGGAGGGAGTGGAGGGGGGAACAGAAGGTGAGAAGGGCACAGGGGCAGAGGGATACGGGTTGACTCGGAGGAGAAGTCGTTGGCGTCGTGATCGTGGTCAAAGTGGTTGCGGCAGTGCGTTGCTGCGAGGTGCGCGTAGAACACAGGCGCCACTGGGAGGGAGGGAGAGGGGGGAGGGATAGAGAGAAAGGGAAGCATGCGTGCTTTCATGAGGCAGACTCGAAGGAGATGGCGGCGGCTTCGTGGTCCAGCTACGTTGCTGCGAGGTGCTCTTACAAATCAGGCGCCATGAATTGGTGGTATGACAAATTTACACCATAAGGCATGGTGCAAGGAACGGTATCGGCTGACGCGAAGGTAGACGTGAGCAAGAACTCGAACCCCTGTTCGATTCGACCCGAACAAGTGATCATGTGCAAGGAACGGCACCGGCAGAGGTGAAGGTAGAACTCGAACTGCTGTCTGGTTCCAACTCGAACATGTGATCATGTGTGAGTCTAGTAGAAGTGTGGTGCGTGGAATGGCATCGGCAGAGGTGAAGGTAGATATGAGCAAGAACTCGAACCCCTGTCTGGTTCGACCTGAGCATGTGATCATGTGTGAGTCTAGGAGAGTGTACCTGTGGAGACGGCTCGGGTGCACCTCCCATAGCTGCCATGGGGAAAGGAAGAACAAGCATGCATCAAGAACATGATGATACGCGTTAAAGGCAAGGAAAGACAAGCACGCATCAAGAACATTATGATCTGCATTAGAGACAAGGAAAGACAAGAATGACACAGCATAGTTAATGACCAGAAACCATCACACTAAAACATATGAGTTTATCTTGCATGCGCATGCAAGAGTGGCTAGCATGCAACACGAGATGTGCGTACACGCACAATACATGCACAATGTGCTTGATACCAAAACACCTCAACCCTCATTCTCGCACATCAAGCATGAACATTACGACACATGTGCACCCTTGGCCACAGTAGTACGACAACAGAAGCGGTGAAACCACAGTCGCTGCCATGTGAAGACATGGCACCTAATTGGTGTTCACTCGGACTCATCTGTAGCAGAGGGAGTGCGTGAGGCGTGTTCTGAGTTGACTCAAAACACGACAGTCGCTGTCCCATGTAAAGCCATGGCACCTAAGTGGAGTTCACAGGGACTCACCTGTAGCAGAGGGAGTGTGTGAGGTGCTGGATCTCGTCTGCTGTGAACCCATTCTCATCATGCAACACGTGGTAGTGCACTGGCCTGCTCGTGCCCTGTGGGGGCAAAGGAAACACATTCACATAGAGGGATAAAGTGCAGGAAGCACACGTTGTTGCCACTTGGAGGTGGCACGATGATTGTATTGCGTGCGTGCTACAGACTCACCAGCAGGCCCTTGTGCGAGACCATGTAAAGTCGAAGAAGAAAGGATGCGTCACATCCTTATCCACGATGGAACCCAGCTGCTTACATACCAGACCATGCAGCACAAACACGCCTTGTTGCAAGACACTGCGCACATACCAGCAGGCCCTTGTGCGAGACCATGTAAAAGTCGAAGAAGAAGGCGTGCGTCACATCGCGGTCCACAATGGTCCCCGGCTGCACGTTGCGGTCGCCCTGGGACGGCAGGAAGCGGGCGAGAAGAGTCGCCCACTCCCTGAGGTGCCACAATGAATGTATTGCGTGCTACAGACTTACAATCAGGCCCTTGTGCGAGACCATGTAAAAGTCAAAGAAGAATGGGTGGGTCACATCCTTATCCACGATGGTCCCCGGCTGCACGTTGCGGTCGCCCTGGGACGGCAGGAAGCGCACGTTGTTGCGCTTCTGGGCCACGATGTAGGTCACTGAGGGGCGGAAGGAGGGCTCTCCCATCTTCCTGCCCATGAACTCGAATGCCTGGATGGGAAGAGAAGGGGGAAGGGGAGGAGAGGGCAGGTGCTCGTTGTTGGGCTTCTGGGCTACGATGTAGGTCACTAAGCGGCGGAAAGATGTATGTCATGCCATACATGCCACCCATACTACCCATGCCACCCATGCCACCCATGCCATCCATGCCATCTATGCCACCCATGCCACCCATGTCACCCGTGTTGACTACTAATGGGATCTAGACACTCTAAGCACACCTTTAAATTCACTCTAGGTAGTCCCCACGGGGTCACCTCCAAGGGTCCTCGGGTGCCTGGCAAGGCCAACCCCTAAGCAAGGGTCCGTGTTTGTAGAGGGATTCCCCTAAGTGTAAAGACAACGGTGTGCACTAGAGCATTCCCTAGCTCAATTGCGCAGTGTTGACGACGAAACGGCTCATGTGCAGAATTAGCTCTTCACGTCAATACGTTAATAGAGGAAGGATTTATTACAACTTCGCACAAACACACTATTAATATCTTGCCTAAACACAAGCATAGGAAAATAACAAACTATTGATTACCTGCCTTTGCAGGACTTCGCCAGATTGTCATGAAAACGGTTGTCGAAGTGCTGCGGAATTTGGCTGCATCTGCCAAACGCTCCTGCTGACTCCGCACACGAATACTCATGAATTCGCGTTGGTACTCATGAACACTCGTGTGGGTTCACCGTTTTTCACGAAACGTTACCGTTACAAAACGATTTTCACCGTTTTTCCCTATATCGAAATTGTCACGTTATGCGTGCGACCTTTCTGGCAAAATTACCTGTTCGCCGAGTCAACGCGAGATTCGGTTTTCCAACAGTAATCCCAAGCTCCCAATTGACCGCAATCATGCACGGCCGATATTTCGGTCTTGCTGCACATCCCACTGACGTGCCCTGTACTGCGCGTGGCCAGGGCGATCATTCGCCTTGTCCTGTTGCGATCGTGGCCAATGTGCACGCTCGCAACAGTGCGAGGCACACGCTCGGGCCCTGATGGCCCTCAAGCGAAATCAGGACCACACGCGCGGTCAAGATTTTCGCGTGCTTGACTTTGACCAGCGCGAAAATATCTCAGTCCACTTCGTGAACACTCACGACTCTTCACGAGCACACACGAAAAACAGAAAAACACAAACCAACACGAACGCTCACAAACATTCATGAACAACGTAACTTCACGGAGTTTCACGAACACACTTATGAACGCAACCTTTCATGAAAACACACATAACTCATGAACCATTGAGACGATTCACGAGCCGTAAACACAGAAACACAAAGCACAAAAAATGTGCAACTCACACACAACAAATTACCTTCACTTCCCTTCACCGTCGACGAATAGGCAGTAGGTTGTCGTCCAAACCACGTTTTGCACTCAACAACCCATGCCACCCATGCCATCCATGCCACCCATGCCACCCATGCCACCCATGCCACCCATGCCACCCATGATATCCATGCCACCCATGCCACCCATGCCACCCATGCTATCCATGCCATCCATCGTCTTCCATCCAGTCACCCACCCATGTGAATACCTCCAGGTCCCTCCCTCACCTTGCGGAACGCCTGTAGCTCTGTCGTCCCCACCGTTGAAAACTGCGACTCACTGATGCCGTCTCTGTGAGGGGAGGAGGACGGAGAGGGGCAGAGAGGCAGGAAATGAGCAGAGAGGCGGGATACACAGGAAACTGTTAAGTCGACTCAGAAGTATTTTCCAACTGTGACTTGCTGATGCCGTCTCTTTGAGGAGAGGAGCAGGAGAGGAGCAGAGGGGAGGGAGAGGAGCAGAGAGGCGGGAGAGGAGTAGAGGGGCGGGAGAGGAGCAGAGGGGCGGGAGAGGAGCAGAGGGGCGGGAGAGGAGCAGAGGGGCGGGAGAGAAGCAGAGGGGCGGGAGAGAAGCAGAGGGGCGGGAGAGAAGCAGAGGGGCGGGAGAGAAGCAGAGGGGCGGGAGAGAAGCAGAGGGGTGGGAGAGAAGCAGAGGGGCGGGAGAGAAGTAGAGGGGCGGGAGACACAGGAGACTCAAAAGTCACCTCGAACTGCGACTCGCTGATGCCAACTCAATGCATCGCTGCTCCCCTCCTGCCTGCCTCAAACACGCACGTACCCAGCCCGCCCTGCCCTGCTCTGCTCAGGCCAGCGTGCTCACCGGAACACAATGATGCGCCTGGGCTGGGCCCCATCTTGTTGATCTTGCCAGAGATTGAAGCGCCTCATGATGCACACACCCAGCCTACCCTGCCCTGCTTGTGCATGTTAACTCACCGGAACACAATGATGCGCCTGGGCCCCATCTTGTTAGCCTGGCCAAAATCGTTCATCAGCTCACTGCACCGTGTGTGTTGGATGCACATAGAGGAAGAGAAGAGAGCAGGGTGTGGGGGCGAGAGGAGGGCGAGAGGGGGGGAACATGGGCCGAGAAGGGAGAGAGGAGGGTAAAAAGGAGGCAGGAGGGAGCGGGGAGGGAGCGAAGACGTGAGTACAAGAGAAAAGGGCAGGAGGATGGCAGGAGGAGGGAGAGAGGAGGGAGGGATGCATGAATGCTCAGGTAACAAAAAACAAAGAGCAATCAAACAATAAAACCTAAATAATAAAAATGACAAAACAATGAGTACTTTTGTTTTGTTCTGTCTCCCAAAATTAGACAACGAGCAACAAACCCGGGACCACAAAAAAAAAAAAAAAAAAAAAAAAAACAACAATAACAACAACCACAACATGGTAAACAACACACCAAAGCATGCCGCCATTGGCACTTTCTGAATCGAAGAGGCCAAGAATTGTCTCCTGCCTCCTGTGCTGCGCGCGCCTCCGCACCGCGTACTTGCTGGCTTCGGGATCCATGGATGCAACCACCTGGTGGGGGTACGGAGAGAGATGGGAGGGGTTGGGAGGAGTTGGGAGGATGTGTGAGCGCACGGGCACTTGCACCACATACTTGCTGGCGTCGGGATCCAAGGATGCAACCACCTGGTTGGGGTACGGAGAGAGATGGGAGGGGTTGGGAGGAGTTGGGAGGATGTGTGAGCGCACGGGCACTTGCACCACATACTTGCTGGCGTCGGGATCCAAGGATGCAACCACCTGGTGGGGGCATGGAGAGGGATGGGAGGGGTTGGGAGGGGTTGGGCGAGGTTGGGAGGATGTGTGAGCGCACTCGCACAGCATACTTGCTGGCGTCGGGATCCATGGATGCAACCACCTGGTGAAGTTTTGGGGGGATTAGGGGAATCGTGGGGGTTTGGGGGAGTTAGGAGGGTTTTGTGGGGAGTTGGGGGGATATGTGAGCGCACTCGTACAGCGTGCTTGCTAGCGTTGAGATAAATGGATGCGACCATCTGGTGAGGGTTCGGGGGGAGTTTGGTAGGGTTGGAGCGAGTTGGAAGGGTTGGGAGTTGGGAGGTTTGGGAGTTGGGAGGGTCGGGACTTGGGAGGGCTGGGAGTTGGGAGGGCTGGGAGTTGGGAGGGTTGGGAGTTGGGAGGGTTGGAAGTTGGGAGGGTTGGGAGTTGGGAGGGTTGGATGAAGTTGGGAGTTGGGAGGGCTGGGAGTTGAGCGCACTCGCATGGTGTACTGCTGGCGTTGGGATCCGCGGAAGTAGCCACCTTTCAGCGCACATGGGGGGTGGGGGGGAGAGGGGACAGCTGGGGACGGTGGCAGCCTCACAGCATACGTCAGGCCATTGGGCTCCACAGAAGCAAGCAACCACATGACTTCTGAGTCGAGTTATTATTTTTTACTTTTGAATCGTCTCAAAACTCAAGAGTCGACTCAAAAGTCAACTGGAGAAGGCGGCATCGTCAAAGAGTACGTCAGGGCATTGGGCTCCACAGAACCAAGCAACCACTCTTCCTTGTTTCCTCGCTACTATGCAACCACATAAACAAGCAACTCCCCTTGTTTCCTCGCTGCTATGTAACCACAGAAGCAAGCAACCACCCCTGACTTTCCGAATGAAAGGAAAGGATCACTTCTTTTTCACACAATGGCGAGCGAGAGAATGCCTTTCAGCACCCATCCTGTTTGTTGACGAACCAATGCGGACATGCATTGCAGCAACAGGTGGAGCTCGACTCGACTGCCCCGGGGCCCTGCCAAGGGTCCTTCACTGAGAGGCACCATGCAGGGCCCCGGGGCACAATTACTGTCTCTCAGGACCCTTGATTATCAAGGGTCCTTCACTGAGAGGCACCATGCACTGTCTCTAAGCTGCCAGTGAAAATGACAGATGCCTGTGTGCATGCACTACGGCTACAGGGAGTGCATGAACGATGCCTGCATGCACTCACAGCAGCGACGGAGGGAGCGTGGCTGCCCGGAGCACTGTGGGAGACGTCGAGGCCAAAGACCATGGTGGGCATCTCACTGAGGGTGTGCGGCTACCCCGAGAATAGAACCATGGAGGCTGTTATGCAACCAGATGCGTCCTTTCATGCTGCCACGCCAAGCTGTTGCTGCGAATGACTGATGCACTCATGCTTGATGCTACATGCACTCACAGCAGCGACAGAGGGAGTGCATGCATGCATGTACGCTTGTATGCACTCACTGCAGCGACGGAGGGAGCGTGGCTGCCCGGAGCGCCGTGGGAGACGTCGAGGCCAAAGACCATGGTGGGCATCTCACTGAGGGGGCGCATGGCCCGCCTGTTTGTGAGCACCCAGTTGACTCCCCTCATCTGGCATGCAAGTGGTGCGATGCATGTAGACAGAAGTAGACACGTGGTGAGGGGAACATGAGACACGTTGAGGCCGAGGCATCTCACTGAGGGGGCGCATGGCACGCCTGTTTGTCAGCTCAGCACCCAGTTGACGCCCCTCATCTGATGGTGTGTTGAGATGGTGGGATGCAATGCAATGCGGTGCATGGGGATAGAGAGGCACGCAAGGCAAATGAGACTTCGAGGCCAAAGACCATGGTGCGCTTCTCACTGAGGGGGCGCATGGCCCGCCTGTTTGTCAGCACCCAGTTGACGCCCCTCATCTGATGGTTGATTGCCGAGACGATGCAATGCAATGCAATGCGGTGCATGGGAATGGAGAGGCACGCAAACAAATGAGACCTCAAGACCGAAGAGCATCATTGGCATCTCACTGAGAGGGCGCATGGAACACTTGATGGTGTCTGTCTGTGAGCACCCGGTTCACGCCCCTCATCTGATGGTTTTAAGCACAGGGTAAGAGACAAGCAAGACATGCCGAGACTGAAGACCATCGTTAGAAAGAGTTACAAGACATATTAGAGACACCAGGGCCAAAGATCATGGTGAGCTACTCGTTGAGGTGGTCAACAACCTTAAAGCCCACGCCCCCACCTTCACCACATGCCCCTTCCCCCCCCCACCATAAAGCCCCCACATCCATGCCTTAATGCCCATGTCCCCACCCATGCCCCCACCTTAAAAAACCATTTCCTCACCTTAAAGCCCATATCTTCACTTTGAAGCCCACCTTAAAGCCCATGTACCCAATCGAAGCCCACCTTAAAGCCCATGTGCCCACCTTCATGTTCATCTTGAGAGCCACATTGGTGAGGTACTGGTCGTTAAAGCCCTTTCCGGGTGGCTGTACGATGCACTGCGTGGGCACGCCTATGACTGTATCACACAGCTTTTTGATGGGCGCTGAAGAGAGAGGGGAAGGGGGATTTGACATGGTAGAGAGCAGTAGTAGAGGGGCAGGGAGGGGTGGAATGGGGTACTAGTCTTTAAAGCCCTTGCCTGGCAGCTGTACGATGCACTGTGTGGGCACGCCTATGCGCGTGTCACACAGCTTCTTGATGGGCGCTGCAGGGGAGGGGAAGGACACCATATGGTAAAGTGGCGTAGAGAGGGGCTGAGAGGAGTACTGGCAATGAAGCCCTTTCCCACCTGCACGATGCACTGCGCGTGTCACACAGCTTCTTGATGGGCGCTGCAGGGGAGGGGAAGGACACCATATGGTAAAGTGGCGTAGAGAGGGGCTGAGAGGAGTACTGGCAATGAAGCCCTTTCCCACCTGCACGATGCACTGCGCGTGTCACACAGCTTCTTGATGGGCGCTGCAGGGGAGGGGAAGGACACCATATGGTAAAGTGGCGTAGAGAGGGGCTGAGAGGAGTACTGGCAATGAAGCCCTTTCCCACCTGCACGATGCACTGCGCGTGTCACACAGCTTCTTGATGGGCGCTGCAGGGGAAGGGAAGGGGAGGAGCACACCGCATGGTAGAGAGGGGTAGAGAGGGGTATTGATTGTTGAAGCACGATGCATTGCGTAGCGCTCTTACACATGGGCACTGCGCGGGGAGCAGGAGGAAAGAATCAGGAAGGCGACAGATATGCACGAGTCAGAGCTGCGAGTTCACGGCTGCACGATACACATCATGCCCATGCACGTGCGGAGCTTCTAAGTAGGCATTGCAGGATATAAAGTGGTGGTGAAAGGTTCACGGGGTTGGAAGGCGGTGGTGGTGCCACACACCGATTGGCATTGATACTGCACTCTCACCGTTCCGACTTCTAGAATCCAGAGAACGAATTCGAGCTTGAAAGTCTTGGAGGAGGTGAGGAGGAGGTGAGGGGGGAAGGGAGGAGGGCGCAACAACTGGCATCCCCACGTACCATACAGCGGACTGGTCTTCCTGACTTCTGGGATCCAGAGAATCAATACGAGCTTGACATGCTCGGATTTGAGGCGGAGGTGAGGAGGATGTGAGAAGGGGGTGAGAAGGAGGTGAGAAAGAGGTGAGGGGGAGGTGAGGGGGAGTTGAGAAGGGGGTGAGAAGGAGGTGAGAAGGAGGTGAGAAAGAGGTGAGGGGGAGGTGAGAAGGGGGTGAGAAGGAGGTGAGAAAGAGGTGAGGGGGAGGTGAGGGGGGCCTGAGGGGAGGAGGAGAGCACAACTACTGGCATCCCCACCCCACGTACCATACAGCAGGCTCGTCTTCCGCACTTCCAGGATCCACAGAATAAAAGCAGGCTTGGATTGCTTCAGGCGCGCGATCACCCGCTCCACCAGCTTCTCAGGCGCCTCTCTGCGCGTGTCCTCCACAATCACCTCTGGGCGGCTCTCGATCACCTGAGAGGCAATGGGAGAACGACGGGCTTTAAGTTGTTCACATGCTCGATCACCCTCTTCACCTGCGCTGCACCAGGGGCGCCTCTCTCCACGTGTGTCCTCCACAATCACCTCTGGGCGGCTCTCGATCACCTGAGAGGGGGTTGGGGTTAAGTGAGGTGCAGTGAGGTGGAAGTGGAAGGTGGCTTGAGTATGTGGTATGCAGTACCTCAAGATAGATGCGTGTCCTCTACAATCACCTGTGGGAGGCTGCTGATGACCTGAGAGGGGGTTGGGGTGGGTGCGGTGAGGTGGAAATGGAAGGCGGTTTGCCTCTAATATAGATAAAAGACTCGTGCCTCACCTCTGGGGGGGTGTTGATCGTTTGAGAGGGCATGTGTGGGCAAAGGAGGGAGGTACAAGGAGGCAGGTCACATCTTTTATAGGGATGCTTTGATGTCCACTTTCGCATGCAGCACAAACTATGCATGCCGCTGCAGTAAATGACGTTGGCATGGCATGGAGTGTCAACTAAAAAGCCAGTCACTCACTCTCTGATGCAGCACACCTTGCACACCTTGCACACCTTGCACACCTTGCACACCGCCGCACGAACTGAATTGAGGAGGACAAGAGGGAATGGAGGGTTTGGGCACTCACCAGCTCCTTGCGAACGCAGCAGAGCGTACAAGCGAGAGATGAAAAAAAAAGCTGACTGAACTCTTTAAAAGCGTAAATAACAAGGGGATGGGAGGATAGCAGGGGAAGAGTAAACGCAATCCACCTATCCTATCCGCACTCACCAGCCCCTTGCGTGCACGGCAATCTTGAGGGCAATAATCACCTGCATGGGGTGTCTCATGCAGTGGTCGAAACACACTGGTGGCTAGGCTAGGCTAGGATGGGCACACTTGCTAGGCATTCTGCAGCAACTGAATGGCTTCACACTCACCAGCCCCTTGCGCGCACAGCACTCCTTGAGAGCAGTCGCCACCTGCATGGGGTCCCTCACACGGTGGTCGAAACACACCACTGCCCACGTCCCGATTTTGGCGGGTGCAAACATGCGCTGCACACGGCACAGGCGAGTGAGAGAACATGAAGGGACGGAGGGGTGCGCTGAGATTTGAGTGAGCAACATTTGTTGCAAGGGGTATCGCATGCCGCCGAAACCAACACCCCCGCCCACGTGTCGAATTTGGCAAGGGCAAACATGCGCTGCACAGCACACGGCACGGGCGAGTGAGAGAACATGAAGGGAGGTAGGGGTGTGTTTGAGGGTTAACTGAGCAGCATTTGTTGAGTGAGCAGCATTTGTTGAGTATGCGCTGGGGTGGCGGGCTTCTATGAAGAGGAATGGGGTTAGAGGATAGGAGGGAAGAGGAAGATGCAGAAGAGAAGATGAAAGATAGGGAAACGGGGGGGATAGAGTACACATGGTGACCTTACGATGAGTTGTCCCTATGCGGCCGTAATACACAACCGATGGGTCATTCATTCTCCACTGCCCCACACATTGTCGTTCATTCATGCTCCGCTCCCTCTCACCTTATCGTTCATGTTCCACTGCCCGTCCCGAGGCTGCATGGTGCCCTTCTCACCAAACTGCAGCTGCAATGGGATCAACGAGAGCAGGGCAGGGAGAGACCAAATGGCCAGACGACTAAACGAGCAAACAAGCAGTGGGAGCGGGTGATTCGATTAACAGCATAACATCTTGAGGGCTGCATGGTGCCCTTCTCACCAAACTGCAGCTGCAATGGGATCAACGAGAGCAGGGAAAGACCAGAATCAGGGCAGCTACACTTGAACGCACAAATATATCTTTGGGGGCTCCTAGAAAAATTCCTCGTTACAGGTAGTGCTGCAAAACAGTAGGTGAGGGACAGTCAGAAATGAGAACCAGCTTTATTCTTGAGTGATGGACGAGAGGCAGGCACATCGTTGGGGCATCCTCCGCTTCGCTTCTCTACAATCAGCCTGAAACTGAACCATCCTAAGCTCCAAATGAATGCCAAACGCCTCAAAAGGCCCCCGTTGAATCTATGAGTCTGATGAAACGTCTCGATATAAGCCTTCGACAGATCTTAGCTTACAGTGGGCAGGTCCTGTTGCCTGCCACATGCTGGACGGAATCATGCTCTTCTGTTTGTGAATGCCAGGCGCCTAAATGCGAATTCGTGAGCATTGTAGAGAAACAAACAAACTACAAATCTACAACATTGGGCAGCAAGGTCAGTATACAGGGTCATATCAAATCACATCATGTAGTATCATATCACATTATACCATATCATAACATGCTTACAATAGGCGGCTCCAGCTGGCGGCCATCAGCGTGCATGACATGGAGAAATGCGTTAGCAGCTGCTACTATGCGTACAGCAGCAGCATTACCATGCCACGGTATCACCACCACCACCAGGCTTACAACGGGTGGCTCCAGCTGGCGGCCATCAGCCTGCATCAGCGTGCATCATGTTGGGCTGGATGCGCATGCAGATTAATGTGTGTCACGTCAGTGTCATCACCATGCCTCCACCACCACCACCTCCGTGCCAACAGCATTACCCCCATCTCACCACCACCACCATCAACATGCTTACAACAGGCGGCCCGCTGCCCCCACCACCTCCCACCACCACCTCCGTGCAAACAGCATTACCACCATCTCACCACCCCACCAGCATGATATTGGGCTGGATCATGTCGGCAGCCATCAGCCTGCATCATGTTGGGCTGGATGCCCATGCAGAGTCATGTGTGCCACTGCCACCACCATGCCTACAGCACCACCACCATGCCTACAGCATTACCAGCATCCCACCACCACCAGCACCACCAGGCTTACAACGGGTGGCTCCAGCTGTCTGCCATCAGCCTGCATCATGTTGGGCTGGAGGCACCTAAATACAACACTACCACCATGCCTACACCACCACCATGCTTACAACGGGTGGCTCCAGCTGCCTGCCATCGGCCTGCATCATGTTGGGCTGGATGCGCATGCCAAAGGCCTCCAGCAGAGGGTTGTTTGCCAGCCCCGCTGCTCCCACCGCCTGAGATATGCCATGTCATGCCATGCATATCACCAAACCATACCATATTTCCGTACCATGCAATGTCACCACGCAAGCAATCACGCAATGTCATCATGCCATGTCATGCCATGGCATGCCAAGTCCCATACCGTGCCATGTCATGCCATGTCAACATAGCATGCCGTAGCATGGCATGGCATAACCAGCCATGCAAGAAACATCAGAGGGAGGGGTACAATTCAAGAGGTGGGGAGAGAGGCTAAGGCACATGGAACCCATGTCATGGGGCAGCAAGGGACACCCAACACCCATGAGTTTTTTTTGCTGGAAAAGTGTGCCGTGGAGAAGTGTAACACCCACCCACAATGGCGATGCTCCTGCGGCAGTTGTCGGGTTCGAAGCGCAGAGCGCTAGAAGGGCGAGAAAAGGAGGCAAGGAGCAGAACGACAAGTGCCAAGGGGCAGAGCAACAGCAAGAGGCGAAGGGGCAGGCTGACTGAGAGTAACGGGGCAAGGCGTCAGGAGGTTCAGGGGAAATCAGGCACCCACGTTGGCGATATCGTTGCGGCGCTTGTTGGGTTTGAGGCACAGAGAGAGGCAGGGCGAGAGAGACGAAGAGAGAGGCAGGCAGAAGCGGAAAGGAGCAAGCAGAGAGTGATGTTGTTTCCTTGGCAGGCACCCACATTGGCAATGTCATTGCCCTGCTTGTCGGGCTTGAGGCGCATAGCAGCACGGGGCAGAGAGAAATAGGCTCAAGGGGAAGAGCGGTAAGAGGCAACGGGCAAGGGGCAAAGGGGCAGGCTGACACCCACATTGGCAATATCGACGCGGCGCTTGTCGGGCTTGAGGCGCAAAGCGAGGCAGGCCGAGAGACAGAGGCAAGGGGCAAGCAGAGAGTGATGGGGTTTCCGTGGCACCCACGTTGGCAATGTCATTGCGGCGCTTGTCGGGTTTGAGTCGCAGATTGCCGATGGCTGCCACCTGCTGGGGCGTCAGCTGGCGCAGGTACCTCTGTGCATCCACCACGCTGCAGAGCTGGTGGGGGGAGAGAGACACACACAGGGAGAGGGAGAGAGATAGGTTGCGGTATCAGCTGGCGCCAATGGCCGCCACCGGCTGCGGTGTCAGCTGGCGCAGGTACCTCTGTGCGTCCACCACACTGCAGAGCTGGTGGGTGGGAGAGGGGGGAGAGACACACACACAGGAAGAGGGAGAGAGATAGGTTGCGGTATCAGCTGGCGCCGATAGCTGCCACCTGCTGGGGCGTCAGCTGGCGCAGGTACCTCTGTGCGTCCACCACACTGCAGAGCTGGTGGGTGGGAGAGAAGGTGAGAGAGAGGCACACACACACACAGAGGAATGATGCGCATGCAATTATGCTGAATGGATCACACACAGGTGTCAGCTGGCGCAGGTACCTCTGTGCGTCCACCACGCTGCAGAGCTGGTGGGGGGAGAGACACACACACAGGGAGAGGGAGAGAGATAGGTTGCGGTATCAGCTGGCTCCAATGGCCGCCACCGGCTGCGGTGTCAGCTGGCGCAGGTACCTCTGTGCATCCACCACACTGCACAGGTGGTGGGTGGGAGAGGAGGTGAGAGAGAGGCACACACACACACACAGAGGAATGATGTGCATGCAATTATGCTGAATGGATCACACACAGGTGTCAGCTGGCGCAGGTACCTCTGTGCGTCCACCACACTGCACAGGTGGTGGGTGGGAGAGAAGGTGAGAGAGAGGCACACACACACACAGAGGAATGATGCGCATGCAATTATGCTGAATGGATCACACACAGGTGTCAGCTGGCGCAGTTACCTCTGTGCGTCCACCACGCTGCAGAGCTGGTGGGGGGAGAGACACACACACAGGGAGAGGGAGAGAGATAGGTTGCGGTATCAGCTGGCTCCAATGGCCGCCACCGGCTGCGGTGTCAGCTGGCGCAGGTACCTCTGTGCATCCACCACACTGCACAGGTGGTGGGTGGGAGAGGAGGGAGAGGGGGAGAGACACACACAGACAGATGTATGAAACAGAGACAGACATTATAGATTAATGGGTTACAGGTGTCAGCCGGCGGCGCAGGTACCTCTGTGCGTCCACACTCCACAGCGGGTGGGAGGCGCGCACGCACGCACGTATGATGCACAGACAAGTATGCAGAATAGATCATACACAGGTGTCAGCTGGCGCAGCTGATGGTTGGGTGCTGACTGGTGGGGAGGTGATAAGACAAGTCAGCGGAGCGCATGTGTCTACACATGTGCCGCAGATTATCAGCAGAGCAGGATCATCTGAGGTGCATCAAAGCTGTGAGATAGATGTGACGTGATTCGATGATTTAAGCAAGCCTTCCCCAATTTGCCCCACCCTGCTCCTCTGCCCAGCTCTGCCCCCCTCTGCTTTGCCACACTCTGACTCACTCTGCCTCACTCTGCCCCACTCTGCCCCACTCTGCCACACTCTGTGTCTCACCTCCAGGGGCACCCAGCAGGGCCTGTTTGGCCGGTTGGAGGCAGAAATGCAGGGCAGGTGGGGGAAGCGCAGGGTGATGCCGTGCTGCAGCTCGTAATACTCCGCCACGCTCTGGCTCTCATCGTTGTTGCGCCGGTTGTTGAACCTGGCGGTGTTAACAGGGGAGGTAGATGGATGGTAAAGGGCATGTCAGTGGTGCTGCCGCTCGTAATACTCTTCCACGCTCTGGCTCTCATCGTTGTTGCGCCAGTTGTTAAACCTGTGTGGAGGGGAGGTGACCGGGAGGTTGATGGATGGTGCAGGGAAGGAATCTCAGTGGTGCCAATGCTCGTAATATTCTGCCACGCTCTGGCTCTCATCGTTGTTGCGCCGGTTGTTGAACCTCGCGGTGTTGGCGTGGGGGAGGGAGGGGGAGGTTTTGGCGGATGGGGCAGGCAGAGCGATGCCCGTCTTCTGAGAGAGTGTGCAGAATAGCCCGAAAAAAGAAGCAGCATACAGAAACACCGGAAGCACGTGCAGAATCACTCTCGCGGTGTTTCTGAAACACCAGAATCACCTACAAAGGTAGAAAAAATCACCTGAGGTCAGCAGCCCCCTCGCGTGTGAGGTCATACACCTTGTGCTTCTGTCCGCTCGGCTTTCCAGCCACCCTCAGGTTCCTCAGAATGCCCTTCAGCTGCGATTGGGAGAGACGGAGACGGGGAGGGAACAGCAACTATTGGGATAGACGGCCTTCCCGCCACCCTCAGGTTCCTCAGAATGCCCTTCAGCTGGAGTCAAGCGGGGGGGAAGGAAACGAAAACCGCAAGAGTTGGAATCTAAAATATCGTTGGTGCCCTGCCTGCCTGCGGGGTTAGAACTACACCCGCAGCTGGGATCAAGCGGGGAGGTGGAGAAGGAAGCAAAAAGCAATATTCAGGATCGAAAGTACCGCCACGCTCAGGTGTGGCCCTGCCAACTCGTTCGGACATGCCTCTCAGTTTCGTGAAACTTACCCTCCAGCTGGGATTGGGAGGGACGGACGAGGGTGGGAAACGACGAGGGGAGGGACGGAGCGATGGAGCCAGGAGGGGGCTCGGAGGGAGGGAGGACGGGAGGGAGGGAGGGCAGAGAGGGAGAGAGGGAGGAAGGGAGAGAAGGAGGGCAGGAAGGAAAGAATGTCCAAATGGAGAAGGGAGAAATGGATGGAAGGAGGGAGAGAAGAACGGAGGGAGGGAACAGAGTAGTGGCAAGGAGCGGGTAACAAAGCAATCCTTTTTCTGAGGCGCCTCACGAGAGCAGCAAAGTGACAGGGAGAGAGGAAGCACCTTGGACAGGCAGACAGGCAGACAGGCAGACAGGCAGACAGGCAGACAGGCAGACAGGCAGACAGGCAGACAGGCAGACAGACAGGCAGACAGACACGCAGACAGGCGTACCCGGATTCTGTCCGCGTCAGAAAGGCGGTCGGGCGGGTTGCGGTTGAGGAGGGACCCGAGCAGGTCCAGCACGGGGATGGGCTGCACCATGCATGCCGTCACAACGTCTGCACAAACGAAGAGTGCACCGGTTACAGGGTTGGGGGAGGGGGGAGGGAAGGGGGGTGAGAGGGGCCATTGCATCAGACCAGGTCCAGCACAGGGATGGGCTGCACCATGCATGCCGTCACGACGTCTGTTGGATGATGAGACTGCACGGGCGGGGGGGGGGAGAAGAACTGTCATTCACAGGGACACACGCACAGGGAGGAGTAAGGGCCAACACGGGGGATGGGCTGCAGCACTATGCATGCTGCAGACAGGACCCAACCCAACCAGGCTGAGTGCATTTGAGAATTCTCAAAACCACGCCAGCTATTCAATTAGGCACCTCAATCAGAGCGCACTCTGGCATGCAAGCAGCACGCACCCAGGTTGAGCGCCAGCGCGTTGTGGATGGGCCTGAAGCTCACGTTGAACCCCGTCCATGCATGCCTCAATGCCGCCTGGGAGAGGGGCCACTCGGCTGCCAAAGCTGCCTACGGCTAAGTACTCAGCTCAATCTGATTGACATGCACACAACACAGCACAGCACGCACCGAGGTTGAGCGCCAGCGCGTTGTGGATGGGCCTGAAGCTCACGTTGAACCCCGTCCATGCCTCGATGCCACCCGGGAGAGGGGCCACTCGACCAAAGCTCTTGTCAAAGAACTTGTCCTTGACCAGCAGGAAGCTGCAGTGCAGGAGGGGAGGCGGAAAGAGCATCAACAGGTGTGCGAGTGAGCGTTATAACAATGCCGGTGCCACATTGCCAAAGCTCTTGTCAAAGAACTTGTCCTTGACCAGCAGGAAGCTGCAGGAAGGGAGGATAGAGCATGGGTGGGTGGGAGCAGAGGGGGGCGGAGGGCATGCGGGGTGTTGAAGCAATGTCGGTGCCGCTTTGCCAAAGCTCTTGTCAAAGAACTTGTCCTTGACCAGCAGGAAGCTGCAAGGGGGAGGATAGAGCATGGGTGGGTGGGAGCAGAGCGGGTGTGAGGCAATGTCGGTGCCGCATTGCCAAAGTTGTCGGGCAACAAACTTCTCCTTCACCAGCAGGAAGCTGCAGATGGGGGGAAAAGAGCATAGGTGGAAGCAGAGGGGGGCGATGGGCATGTGAGTGTTTGAGACGATGCCAGTGTTGTATTGGCAAAGACAGGAGGGTGAAGACGGTCTGGGTGACGTGACATGACTCCATTCTCAGAATTGAAGCTTGAACTGATGAACTGAGAAAGAAAGGCACTAGACCTTAAGTACAAACAGGGTTGGGTTGAGCAAAGCTAGGGATTCCAAGCAAATCTTCAAAGATGAGTTGGCCTATTTGTTGGATTACGGGGGAATCCCAACCAGATAGGGTTGGGATTACAAATCTACACCCAACCTACAAATAGCCTACGTGATATAAAATATAGTACACAAATGTTGACAGCCTTCAAACATCCATGTTTCAGAAACTGATGTTTGGTTTGGATGTATGGCAATTGGGAGTTTGCAGCACAGCACAGCACGGCCCGGCCCGGCACGGCAGGCACGGCATGGCACGGCACGGCACGGCACGGCACGGCACCGCACAGCACAGCACCGCACCGCTCCGCACAGCACAGCACAGCACAGCACAGCACAGCACAGCACAGCACAGCACAGCACAGCACAGCACAGCACAGCACAGCACAGCACAGCACAGCACAGCACAGCACAGCACAGCACATCACAGCACAGCACAGCACATCACAGCACATCACATCACATCACAACACTGCACCGCACCGCACATCACAGGTATATGTAGGGGGGGGGTTGGAGGCATGCAGCAAGGAGCGTGCATACCGTTCAGCAGCATAGTCACGGAGCTTTGACGTCCAGGGCTCCGCACAGAGGGCAGAGAGGGCAGAGAGGGCAGAGATGGCAGAGAGGGCAGAGAGGGCAGAGAGGGCAGAGAGGGCAGAGAGGGCAGAGAGGGCAGAGAGGGCAGAGAGGGCAGAGAGGGCACAGAGGGCAGAGAGGGCACAGAGGGCAGAGAGGGCACAGAGGGCAGAGAGGGCACAGAGGGCAGAGAGGGCACAGAGGGCACAGAGGGCAGAGAGGGCAGAGAGGGCAGAGAGGGCAGAGAGGGCAGAGAGGGCACAGAGGGCAGAGAGGGCACAGAGGGCAGAGAGGGCACAGAGGGCAGAGAGGGCAGAGAGGGAAGAGAGGGCACAGAGGGAAGAGAGGGCAGAGAGGGCAGAGAGCGCGTACCGCTGGGCAGCATAGTCCCGCAGCTTCACATCGAGAGCCCGAAGGGCGTCCGGGGCAAAGACAGGAGCAGAGGTGCCCGCTGGGGTGATGGCCGCCTTGATGTCCTTGAGATCTACCTCCGCCACCTGTGTGTGTGGAGGGTGGGGGGATGATGGTGTGACATGGCCGTCAGATACACACCCACCTGCGCGAGATGTCAGGAAAAAATCTCTAACAAAACTGATAACCAGAGTGATGGCAGGCAGGCAGGCAGGCACCCACCCTCCCACCTTCCCACCCACAAAGCCACCCACCTGCGTGAGAGTGATATCCAGCTCGTCCTTGATTCGCGGCGGCCTCGAATCTTCCTTGCGCGGCCTCTTCAGTGCCGCCTCGCCGTCGTCGCCTCGCGCTGCTGGCGCGGGTCTGAGCAGCGGATGGCAAGCGCCAAGGCGGAGGGAGGGAAGGAGGGAAGGAGGGGACAGATTTACAGTCGACTTAAAGACCGCAATCTCCCCGTCGTCGCCTCGCGCTGCTGGTGTGGGTCTGAGCAGCCCATGGCAAGTGGCAAAGCGGAGGGAGGGAAGGAGAGAAGGAGGGGACAGATTTACAGTCGACTTAAAGACCGCAATCTCCCCGTCGTCGCCTCGCGCTGCTGGCACGGGTCTGCAGAGTGAATCGTACAGCAGGAGGGGGAGTGGAGGGGGGAGGGATTGGGGGAAGGGAAGGGGAGAGATCTCTTAGCCAACCTTAGAATCGGTGCAACCTCCCCGTCATCGCTCCCCGTCAGCGCTTCACGCTGCTGGCACAGGCCTGGCCAGCAGATGGCATGGGGAGGGGGAACAGGGATGAAGTAGCGATAACTTGCTCACACACAGACACACACACACAGACACACACACACACGCACACACACACGCACGCGCGCGCACGCACGCACACACACACACACACACATAGCAGCAGCTCGTCCATGATCACGATGGCGAACGGCTGGGGCGACTGGATCTTGAGAGGACGCAGGGTAAAGAGGGCGTTCTGGCCGTCGTACGCCAGCAGGGGGAGAGTGTCCTGGCTGGGGAAAGGGCCTCCAGGGGATCCGCTTGTGGGTGCTGCTCATACATGGCCGCCTTCACGCTCGCACGCATCACACAGCACTCACCGCTCGTCCATAATCTTGATAGGGAACGCCAGTGAGTGCTGCTCGTACGTGGCGTTCACGCTCGCACACATCACACAGCAGCACTCACCGCTCGTCCATAATCTTGATAGGGAACGCCTGGGGCGACTGGATCTTGAGAGGACGCAGGGCAAAGAGGGCGTTCTGGCCGTCGTATGCCAGCAGGGGGAGAGTGTCCTGGGGGAAGGCCGCCGGGTGCTGGTCGTACATGGCTTTCATCATTGCCCTCCGCACCACCATGCTGCGCACATCCTTGGAGAACCGCACCTGTAGTGCGGCGGAATGGAAGTGGGGGGAAACGGGGGAGGCGGGGGGGGAGGGGGGAGAGAGAGGGGGAGGAAGAGGAGAGTCGTAGCGAGCAGTTGGAGAGTGTCCTGGGGGAAGGCCTCCGGGTGCTGCTGGTACATGGCTGTCATCATTGCCCTCCACACCACCATGCTGCGCACATCCTTGGAGAACCGCACCTGTGGTGCGGCGGAAGAGGGGGAGGCGGGGGGGAGGGGGGGAGAGCGTTGGAGAGTGGAGGAGGGGGCGGTGAGTCGTAGCCAGCGGGAAGAGTGTCCTGGGGGAAGGCCTCCGGGTGCTGCTGGTACATGGCTTTCATCATTGCCCTCCGCACCACCATGCTGCGAACGTCCTTGAAGAACCGCACCTGTGATTGGGGAGGAGAGGAGGAAGGGGGTAGGTTGGTCGAAAGGGGAAGGCGGGCGGAAGGTGGGGGGAGAAGGGGGGAGATGGGAGGAAGGTGGGTGGGGAAGAGATGTGGAAAGGGGAAGGAGGTGGGGGAGGAAAGAGTGGATGCGGCATGTTCTACATCAATCACCATACAATCTGTTAAGAAATTCCTTTGAAAATGCGTCTGGTCTGGTTATAGGGTAGTGGGAGAAAAGCAGTTGCAGCGCGAAAGAATGAAGAGGAAAACGGTGCCAGGTGAACGAAGAGAACGGGTATCAGCAGCACAAGGGTTACGGGAATCGGGATCCGAAATGGGAGCGAGACGGAAAAGGGAAAGGCAAAACGGGGACAAAAAACAGAAAATGGAGAAACGACGCCACGAATCAGGGAGCCACGAATCAGGGATGCAACGGGGAATCGGCTGCTCCAAGAGGCCCTGCTAGTTCCCACAACCCATTGTCTCCCAGCAGCTGCGGCAGTCATGTAGGAGGCATGGAGAATACCGAAATCATGCGACAATAAACTGCCAGAAAGAAAGCGGAGAGGACGACGGGATCATGCTGCAAGCGAAGAGTTACTCACGTCGTAGAGGACGAGAGGCTTGTCGGGGATGCGCAAATCCACCTTGAAGAAATTCACCAGCACCTTCACCGGCCGGCCCAGCGTGCCGTACTTGGCGTTCGTGGGCCGACCAATCAGCTCCATCGGCTGAACGTCCGGAGCAGCAGGAACGAGAGCCGCATTGCTCGGGCCGGCTACCGGCTGCTGCTCGGACGCCTGGCCTGAACCGCCAGCCGTTGACGTTGACGGTCCCGACGGGCCTCCGGACGAGCTCATGTCGGATGTCGGGGATTACACTATCGAATTTGATATATTTTGAGACGAATTCGCGAAATCTACTATGAGCCTGGTAAGTTCTCTCAATTTGTTCATATGCATGAACGGGCAGAGCAGCCCTGAATGTGTTCGGACTGATTGCTCAATGAAGCAAGGGCCGAGCGCGAGCGGTTTCGGCGGAGGGGGAATGGTTCCGGCGGAGCTGAATCCGAAGGGCATGCACTGAGGGGACGATGGAGAGTGTTCAGTTCGGTCAGTTGTGTGAGGTCAGTTCTTTGTCCGGCGTTGAAATTCTTGTGGGATTATCTCAGCCAATTACAGCGCTCGATTTCCCATCCCACCTGTGTGATCGGCGAACCGCAATTCCTGGCCTCGTCAACCCACTTGTACCGCGCGATCGAATTCCCTCTGGGAACGCGCGCTATATGAACGCAGTGCATATCCAGACTCGGTAAGGCCTACTTTTACAAGAAGGCTTGAAACTGTCACCCAGCTCAAATGTTATACTAACATAGTAATGTCAATGTTAGTCAACATTGTGCCTATTGATGTATCATTTAGTTCACTTTTCTTGCAGTAAGGTCAGCCTGCAGCCTCTAAAACAGACATATGCAAGGCCTTCCTGTTTCTGTGCGGACCATTGGAACTTCTCAAGACAAGCACTACAAGAAAAATGCCACTAAGATTGAAACTATCTCTTCACATGTGTGCAATATCGGTGCGAATGGCGACGACCTCGGCGAATTATTTTTTCTCGAGTAGGTACTCCAGCTGCTTCCACAGTTCGTCGAGGTCGGCTTGTGTCAGTCGAAACTGTCTCTCCACTCTCGGCTGTGCTCCTGGTTCTAACTGTATGCTGTGATCGTGCGGTCGATGGGGTGGCAGTTCTTCTGGCAGGTCATCTATGAAAATTCCCTGGTATCGCTTCAGGATTTCCGTCAGGTCATCCGGTACGTCGGCGAGCAGTTTCTGTGAGTCACTCGGCTTTTCTGTTGCCTCGTCTACGTTATCAGATTTTTTTGTCTGTTTGTCTGGATTTCAAACACGTTTTTTATGGTTCATCTGAAGGCGTAGACATGTCATTTAATTTCATCTGAATTTTTAGACAATATTTTTATACTTATCGGAATTCTTAGACATCCTTATACTGTTCGTCTGAAACTGCAGACAGCGAGTCTTTTCTCGTCTGAAACCAACAAATTCCCCCACCTGGCTAGTTGCCCACCTGGCTAGTTACCCACCTGCCCAGTTGCCCACTGTTCCCGACGAGTCTTGCCACCCGCCGCGTTATCGTTCTGCCACCGCCAGGCTGTACGTTGCCTCTGGTCGGTGCCAGCGCACGGCAGACAGCTGTGGGTGCAGCACAAACAGCCCTCAGTGCGCATCGGGGTCAGGTTTAGGGTGGCATGGCAGGGCAACCCGTCCAGTAGAGATGGGGACCTTCATGCGGCTCGGTTCAGACGACCCCCCCCCCCCCCTCCCCACAGCTCGTGGGGTCCTTGGTTGCGAGAGCAAGCCAGTGTGTAGTTCCACTCCACCACGATGGCTTCTGACTCTCGCACGGATGCCCCTCCTGCATCCACTCTATATGCTTCACCGCCACCTTCCAGTGCGTTGCCACGCCCACGCATTGGCCTTGATTTCCTTACTGGGGGGTGTGTCACCACAACTCCAGTCTCAGCTGCTCTTGTTGCTCCTTCGGTCGGTGAGAATGAGAAACCTAGTTCACCTGAGCTGCCGTACCCTTTCGCGGAGATGGATGCCGAGCCGCTTATACCGTTTTCCCCCGTTCGATCACCTCGCTCAACGAGCCTCCCTGGGGGATCGTCACCAGGTCGACCTGTCGCTAATGCTTTTCCTGCTCAAAACAATCCCCTCAAATCTCGCTCGTCATTCCTTCCAACCCGGTTTCAGGGCAAGACTAAATATGTGCAACATAATCTTTCTTTCTCGAAGCGCCCAAGCCCTTCTCCTGCAGGGAAAACTGCGTCAACGGGTGATGAACGGGCGGGTAATCGAGCAACGAATCCCGGTCCCCCGATTATGACGCTGGAGGAGCTGCAGCTAAAAGCCAAGGAGCAGTGGCATCACCACTTCCCTTGGCTCATCATCAGCGACAACTCTGAAGGTCGTCCTTGCATGAGGTGCAAGATCTGCATGGTGTACGCAAATCCAGAATCGCAGTACGACGCTCGGGGCGAGGGAGGCATTGACATACAGAAGCAAACGATGCGGAAACACCAGTGGAGCATCCGACACCGGGCGGCGAAGGGAAGGTTGGAGCAGTGTGAAGGCGCGCAAACGAAGCAGGCTTCTATCTCCAACTTTGGGGATAAGAGTGCAGAAACGAGGCGGTTGATCAAGTTGTTTTTTACTGTGCGTTTCATTTGCAAGTCTGACACCCCCATCGCCTTGTTCATGACACTCGTGTAGTTCATGGCAGAACTGGGAACGCCAGATATGCCAATGAAGGACCAAGGGACGTATTGTACAACGTAAGTGTGAAATATTTTGGGCAGCGTTTTATTTTAACAAAACTATATACTAATATACATTTTCCACTGTTTGACGCAGGTACGGTTTCAAGCACCTTGTCGAGACGCTGGTGTGCTACTTGAAGGCGAAGCAGATCCAGCACATCAGCGAAAGTCCCTTCATTGGCCTTCAGCTAGACGAGAGTACCGACAGAAGGCGTGGCAAACACATGATTGTGTATGCCACGTTTCTGCGCGGTACAGCGGTGGTGACGGAGTTCTTCGCCAACCTGGGTGTCGAAAACTGCGACGCCGGTTTGCTTGAGGCCGTCCTCCTTACACACCTTGCTACTTGCGGCATCGAGCTGTCCAAGATAAGCAGCATGAGCATTGATGGCGCGAGCGTTATGATCGGCGGCCAGACCGGCCTGGTGGCTCGATTACGCATACGGGATCAGCACATTGTTTCTTGCCACTGCATCGCCCACAGGTTGTGTACCGTGATTTCATTTTGTATTGTGTTCTTTTATCTCACAGCTTGCTTACTAATCCGTTGCGTGTTAAATATGCAGGGAGGCACTTGCTGCGAAGGATGCCGCCCTCGATTTCCCCGACTTCAACATCGTTGACAAAGTCGTCAGATCCTTCGCGGACATTCTCGACCGCTCTATTGTGCAATATGCGCGATTCAAGAAGCTGCAGGAGGTGCTAACTCGCACCAACTTGGAGATGCAAGGCATCAAGGACATCCGTTGGCTTTCTCGCGGGGACGCCATCGAGCGCTTTGCTGACGTTCTGCCTGCTGCCATCGTCATGCTGTATGAATACGACATGCTTTCTTACACCCTTGTAACCAGTTTCAAGTTTCAGTTCTTTCTCTTCTTCCTGGTTGATGTGCTCCAGGAGTTAAACAGCCTCAATCTCAAATTTCAGCAACGGCAGGTAAGGACGTGTTGTGCAAAGTCCCCCCTTGTTTTTCCGTGCCCAATCTAATTCGGTTTTCTCTTTTGTATGTGCAGCTCGACGTGACGCAGGTCCTGCCGATGGTGCACCACACCACCCTGGCGTTGACCAGTCGCTATGTGGAGTACGGCTCCACCTTCGGCGACAACAGCGGTCGACTCGCCACCTTCCTGAAGGAACACGGGAGCCAAGAGCATCGCGAGGTGAAGGTCGAAGGGATAGACGGTGCGGGAACACCCGTGACTCACACCTACGTGCTGCACGAGGACTACATCGAGAAGCAGAGCTGTGGGGGGGACTTGGCGTCGTGCGTGAAGGTGGCATCCGCGTTCGCTGCACGAGGACTACATCGACGACCGCATGAAGAGCCTGAAGTCGTTGGATGGGAGCCGTCTGTTTCGGCAAGGACGGTACCCTCGTTCGCGCGCTAAGAGAGCGCGCCAATTTCCCCAATGGCTTCAGTCTCTGCGCAACCTGTTCAAGAAAAAACCTCAACATCCAGATACCCTTCTTGGTAGACGGCTTTCCATTGTTTTAACTGTGAAGCATATGTGCCTATGATGTTGTCAGTTCTACTGTGGTGTCTCTTTAATGTACTCTCATTCTCTTTCTGATTTCCTACCCCATGTACCCCCCCCCCCTTCCCATCAGGCATCGAGTGGGGCAAAGCTGCCAAGGAGCTCACCAGCTTCGCTACAATCCTCTCCACCCACCACGAAGACCGCTCCTTCCACGACAGCCTCTCGCAGATGCTCTCAACGCCGGATTGGGAGTCGGCCTTTTCGAACCTCGGTCGCCTATGGATGGCTGTTGCCTTGCTCCCACTCAGCACTGTTGAGTGTGAGCGCGGATTCAGCCGTCAGAACATCATTAAAATCTGGGTGCGTGGCAACTTGTGCGTCACGACCCTTGGCAGCCTAATGATGGTTTCACTTCTGGATTACGAGCTGGACACAGAGGAGCTGGTGGAGAGGTGGCATGCCAGCAAGAAGCGGCGGCCGGCTAGAGAGGTGGTCATGGCTCAAGGATCACGCCCGTTGAAGAGACGGCGGTCCCACCACTAGCAGAGAGGCGCTGCAGCATCAGCAGCAGCAGAAGCAGCAACACGCGCACAGAAAGAGGCGGAAGAGGCTGCAATGAGGGAGAGAGAGAGAGAGCAGCAGAGGAAGGGCAAATCCAGAGCAACAGTAGAGGAAACCTCTGAGAGTGGCAGTGGTAGTGATCACAGTGTTAGTGGTAGTAATGATGACAGTGGAAGCAGCAATGCTAGTGACTCTTCCTCTTAGAATGGGATGCTTTTAGATTAAAGAATGTCTGACAAATAAATTAGGTTAGGATAGTTGCTCGCAAGTTATTAAGACTAACTGTCTACCTTCATCTGAAATCTCAGACCAGCACCCAGGATTTGTCTGAAAAGCTAGACAACGTTACAGGTTTCGTCTGACAATCAGACAAGGAGCCAAGACCTGGTCTTAAAGCCAGACGGGTCATTTTCTAAAGTTAACCCTGCTACGTGGCGTTTTATCGTGATGGCGCTGACTCGAACCGGCGAAGACTCTGGCGAGCTCCAGCGATGTAGGGCGATGTTGTTAGAGTTAACTCGTACGATATTGGAACACATATAAATACAAAAGGTCCTAGCTAGCCATGTACTGTGGAAGGGTACATTCTTTTGTTATGGCTTAGCCACATTTCCTTATCGTAACACTGCCTTCATTCCTGAAGAAAGCAAGTCCTGACACGCTTGGTCACTCCACAGATGTTCGAGCAGTAGTGATACTGCCGACGTGCCAACTTCTTGGTGATGAGGCAACTGCCATGTCACCCGACGAGCAGTAGGTCAAGTCAACCTTGCATTTGTCAATCTCGTCCTTGGCGAAGAAGTATTGAAGCGCGATGTGTATGGTGCGGTTGACGAAGCCAGGTTTGTCCGCGATCTTTATCGCATCCTGGTTTCTGCAGTGCAATTTCAAGATTGGCGATACCATAATTTCTCCTCCTGGAGGAGCTCCTACAGGAACAACCCTTAGAGAGTGCCACCATTGTCTGTTTCTGAGAATTCCATGAAATTGGTCCAGTATGCTTGAGCCGAAATATGAAGCCAGTTCGTGATCGTGAACTTGTGAAATCGGTTGCATGATCGGCATCCACGTATCCGACTAGGTTGAAGGAGCATGTCGTGAGTTTTGAGTAGGTGAGGCCAATGTGGGGTGTGGAGGTCCAGCACATCCTCTGCTTCATGTCGCCTGACTAGGCGAGCTGGCTTGCGACGTGGGAGAGGTCGGGCCTATAGGCAACGGCGACGAAGGGGAGGCACCCAAGTTGCTGTTGGTATACGTGATGCATGTTGGAAATAAAAAGCATAAGAAAACATATATGTTGTTAGGTTTTAGTGTAATCCTCTATATAAGCTTCTAGGCCCTACAATAATTGTACAATTATTGTAGGGGCTGGATTATTGGAGTCTAGAGTTCTGGGGGTAGAATTATTGCCACTCCTTTATTGGAGTTGGCATTATTGGTGGTACAATTATTGGTGTGGAGATGGCTATCCTTGGGGTTAGCTGCATAGATAAATACCATGCTGTAATCCATTGCTATCATTCCATTCCACTTTCAAGGTTTCAGTTATATTCTCTTATACAATCAAGCTTCCGCTACGTTGGCACTATGCCTTTCTAGCATGGTATCAGAGCTACTCTAGGGGGCATGCTGCCAAAATTTCGTCAGATTTCTGTTATCATTAACATTGGACAGTCATATTAGCGTATTGGATAGCAAGAGGCAACCTTCTGGTTCGACGCAATGGCACAGTTTGATAGTGACGTCAATGTTGGATATGAGGCTTTCGAGGAAGCCATCTTCGCTCAGCATGAGCACCTGGAAAACATTATTGCAAGGGCGCCACATGCACTTCAATCATCGCTATGTGCCAAGTTCAACATGCAAATGACATCACACTCTCCATCACACACTCCGCGTACTAATCAAACCCACGCTTCAAATGTGCATGCAGGAATTGAAGGTGAAGGGGAGGGAAGCGTACCCCAAGGAGGAGAGTCATCCCAAGGGAGGGATGCATCCATCCAAGGAGAAGGGAGCTCCCACCCCGCACCTCAAGCAACCATGCAAAGGGAAGCAAGCGGGAGGGATGATGAGTATGGGAGTGGGCTGAATGCAAGGAGACTTGATGATGGGATTGAGATGGGACAAGAAAGTGGCAGATTTGGTCAAGTGGGCGCGGAAGGTGTGGGATTAGAATCCTACACTATTGGTGCTCCCCCACTACGACGTCTTGCTACTAACTCCCATCCCATTGGAGTTCCCGTAATGGGCAGATCTCACTTTTTTGGCAACAACGTCGTACCTCCCCGTGCGCCACGGTCTCAAATGGAAGCTGTACCTGCAGGAAGCATTGTGCGCATGGGGCACGAGATGCAATCAAGTGGTGTTATGCGGCGTGACCAAGTGGAAGTGGTGGAACGTGAAGGTACACAACGCACGGTACAACTACCTCGACCGTCTACCGTGCCTATACTCTTCGAGCCGTCTCTACGCGAGTACACGGAAGAAGACAAGGACAGATTGTCATGCAAGATGGTGGGAGCAGCGGTGGACAGAGCATTCACAACCACTCCATTCGACGGCACTAACTTTCGGGAGTGGGCTCTTCGATTTCGCATGAACGCGCAGGTGACAAACTTGTGGGAGTTGAAGCTACAATATCCGGTTACAATGGCAAATGGTGACATGCAAGATGCAATGGAGCGGTTGGAAATGCTGCAAGCAGATTACTCGCAACGTGCAACACTCGCATTTTGGGTACTATTGCACAGTGTGAGCGCAACAATTCAGCTGCAACTTGACGTATTTCAAGAGTCCTACAGCCCGGCGTTTAAGGCATGGGAGTACCTGATGGAGACGTACCCGACAAAGGATTTGGTGGCAAAGGCGTCTCTCCAGAGGCAATTGGACAACCTGAAGATGGGGAGTCAAGAAAGAGTGGAGGAATACATCAACCGAGCAACTGCAATTCGGGACAAGCTGGCAATGGCGGGAAAGATGGTGGATGAGGATTCATTCACCTTAAATCTGATTACCAGGCTGCCGCCGCATTGGGAAGAGCTGAGGCACTCGGCAATGCTGCATGACATCTCGGACAGCTACACACTACAACGAATGATGATTCAGGAACAACGCTACCAAGACCTCATTACCAAGACCAACCGTGACAAACGTCCTCCCCGCATGGCTGGTCAAGCACGTGGAGATAATTCACCAGCAAAGGAGAGGACCGAGACAAAGGGCGACCAGAATGCGGCGAAGTCAACGGGAGGGCAACACGCGGCGGTTGGGGAGAAATTCAAAGGCAATGAAGGAAGGGGAGGGCGCTCAAGCCTTGTGTGTTGGTACTGCAAGGAATAGGGCCACCCGTTCTACAAGTGTCCCAAGGCGCCTCCGGGTTGGTCACCACCAGGATGAGAACCACAAAACAGAGGGAGGACAAACCAGCGCACCTGGAGTAGCCGTTCGTCCTCGCCTCGAAGAAGTGAAAGCCCCAAACGTGACAACCAATCGTCAAAACATCAAGGGGCAGCCGGGGGAGACAACCAACGCACCGTTACATGTATTGCAACGGTTCGGTCGTCACAAGCAACTTTACCGTCAGCTGGAGGATCGATGTATGTAGCCAGCACATGACTTCAGAAAAAGATTGGTTTGAATGTATGGAGGAGCTGGACGCACCTGAATACGTGGAGCTGGCTGACGGCAGCCAACTGCTGAGCTCGATGGTGGGGACGATTATAGCAACGGCGCCCGATGGGACAACGGTTCGCTACATCGACGTGCTCTATGTCCCCGGTTTGAAGTCCAACCTTCTCTCCTATTGCCAGCTACAGAAGAAAGGAGCACGGATTCACACACATGAGGATGGGCACACGGAGATCATCATGGCGAATGGAGATGAGCATGTACTCATTGGAGTTGGAATGGTCATGCATGGGGTGCTGATGGTGCAGTATGAGCCTGCACTTGCATCTGCCCATGAATCTGGTCATGATCATCCGAATGAAGCATCGAATGAGCCTGGTCTTGGAGGGCTGAATGTGCAGTCTGCTCATGCATCCATCACATACCGCATGGCCCACAAGTTCTTGGGTCACCCATTATACACATCCATGGACGCAACATTTTGAAATGGAGATGTTAAAGGACTCTCCATATCCGACAAAACAAACCCTCTCACACCCCCCTGTGACTCATGCCTTCAAGGGAAAACGAGCAAGGCCTCCTTTCCCACAGGAAATGACGAGACAACTCGACCTTTGGAGCTTGTGCATCGCGACATCATGGATTTGGGTGACGCTCACCTCTCACTTTGCTACGTGCTGACGCTCAAGGATGACTACACAAACTACCTGTGGGTGGCG